GATTGTCCAGGGAGAGGACTGTTTCTTTAATTATCCTATAGAGCTTTTTTGTTGTCCACTTGGGGACAGGAAACAGAGATGCGGGCCCTGAGAGGTGGGACATTGAAAATAAGATGCCTCACATAAAATCCAGTCCTAAACAATGGCCTAGAGACAAATCTATGTACCATTAAAAGAAGATGAAAAGATGTTCCCAGTGGTCTCTGCTTTGGTTCTATGTAAAATAACAAGAAAAAAAAATCATATCCAAGAATTTGAAACCATAGGCCAAAGTCTAACAGGTTTGGAATATACATTTGTGTCACCTTTTAGGTGCAGAAAGCAACTGAATATTTGGCTCTGGACAGGGACAACTCTGGGCAACGGAAAGTGGCAAAAACATAACCACGTTGGAGAAACACTCCCACAACTGTGGATGAAAGGAGAACTCACAGAAAAAGAGCTTCAATTAACCTATGCAACAATCCAGCATGCTCTTTGCATGTACCCCAGAACCTAAAGTTCAAATATATATATATATATATATATATATATATATATATATAAACTTCAATTAAACAATTCACAATGAAAAATTTCAAAGTACATAAAAAGCAATCCATCATGGGCAAGAATTAGCAGGCACAACAAACAGAAGAATTAGCAGACACAACAAATGGTGATAGAACAATAATCTAAAGACATGTTCAAGGTGATTGAAGACATAAAAGGAAAGTTGTAATCTTCAAAAAGAAAGAAAACACAACGAAAATAAGAAGCCTAAGTAGACTTTGAAAGAGAACTAAATAGCACTTCCAGAAATGAAAAATATAGTAATCAAAATAAAAAGTTTCAATAGGTAGGTAAAACAGATTATATAGCCTAAGTGAACATTAATGAATTGGAAGATAGATCTGAAAAAAATTACTCAGAATGCAGTAGAAAGAGACAAAGAGGTAGAAAAATAAAAGATGGGTAAAAAGATATGCAATGTACCATAAGAAACTCCAATTTACATCTAATAGAAGTACCAGAAAAAGAGAAGAGGGAAAGCGGAAAAATGACAATATTCATATAATTAATAGTTACTAATTTTCCAGAATTGATGAAAATATATAAATCCTCAATTCAAGAAGCACGAGAGTCTCAAACAAGAAAATAAAAATAAACGCACATCCAAACACAGTGTGGTGAAACTGCAGAATACCAAAGACAAAGAAAAAAAACCTATAAAAGTATACACGGAAAAGAGTAAAGAATCCACAAGGAAATAACAAATTCACTACAGATTTTTCAACAGAAATGATAAGGCAACACAGAGAAATAAAGATTCAAATGTCAGAGGGAGAATGAATGTCAACTTAGACTTCTATTCCCAGCTGAACCATCACTGATAAATGAGGGAGAAATAAAGACATTTAGATGAACAAGACTGAGTAATTTACCACCCACTGATTCTTACTTAAAGAACTGAAAAAGACTCACTTTGGGAAGAAGAAAACTGAGTTCAGAGGGAAGGAGGAGGATGCAGGAAGGAATTGTATTCATAATTTTCTGCGGTTTTTATGTTTTGAAATAAAAATATAAAAGGAGACACAGATGACCCCATTAGCTTGTTTAGAACACTTTGCTTGGGAAAGGTGAAATAATGATAAAGTTGGATGAGAACAAATGCTATTAAATGTCCCCATGAAGAAATAAAAATAGAATGAAATTATTGACTTATCCATAAATATTCATGAATATGACCTGAGCATCTTTGGGGTACAAAGAGCCATTCTGCAGAACAAGTGAAAGATATTTACAAAGAAATAAATCTAAAATTTGTTTTGTGAAACATTTTTATTTCCTGCTCTTTTTTTTTTCTTTAAAGTTGGCTATCTGGATATTGCAAAGTCATAAATAAAACTTTACACTTTAAAGTTGTATGTAATCTGTTGCACACAATCTAATGGATGTGAAATTCTGAATTAGTCTTTTAAAAATAGAACTAAAAAATACAGATTCCTAAGTAGTCCCCCAAATAATAAATCTATACTTCCAAGTTTTTGAAAATTACCTTTGCCATCCCCATACAAGTTTTATTTAGTTAAGAATAACAGAATATAATTTTGTAATTTGATACAAAATCACATAAATTCAGAATTTTAAAGCACCCAATGACTTTGCAAAAGAAGCTAACTCAGCAAGAGAAACCGCAGAGTACATTTGATAGAATTCACCTTAAATGTAATCTACATACATCAAAAAAAACACCTCTTGTTACAGCTACAGGACAAAATGCCAAATGCACAGTCACACTTCTAGAATCAGGTGACAAGCCTCTGAATCCATTCACATTTACTGGCCTACAAATAGGCAAATATAAGGACAGAAAATTACCAAGCATTTTTCAGCAGACAAGAAAAGAATATGGCACAGAAGCTTACAATTCTACCAAACAATCAAAGGGGGATAACAAGGCCAGGTGCAGTGGCTCATGCCTGTAATCCCAGAACTTTGGGAGGCCAAGGTGGGCAGATCATCTAAGGTCAGGAGTTTGACACCAGCCTGGCCAACATGGTGAAACTCCGTCTCTACTAAAAATATAAAAATTTGCTGGGCATGGTGGCACACACCTGTAGTCCCAGCTACTTGAGAAGTTGAGGCACGAATATTGCTTGAACCTGGGAAACCGAGGTTGTGGTGAGTCAAAGTTGTGCCACTATACTCTAGTCTGGGTAACAGAGTGAGACTCGGGCTCAGAAAAAAAAAAAGGGGGGGGGTCTCTTTTTATAAAAAAACAGTAATACTGAAAATTGATTGAATTCATCTTTTCAGCTAAAAACATCAAGTGTGTCTTCTTGGCCATCAACCAGCAGAATTCCTCACTCTAGGCACATAAGAAAGATTTCCTGATGATGAGAACTTACACTTTAAAATTTTTTCTTGTTTGGGGACATTTTAGTTGTATCACAGAGAGGAACAAAAATGTCTACTCCTATTAAAAGAATGCTATGACATATATACATTTTTCTGACCTAATCCTTATTCCAAAAAGAAAAACAAACTCCACGCAAACGAATCCCAAGTTGAGTAAAGAGGAAAAAAGTTAAATCCAAACTATTTTATTTCATAAATTCTTAAAAACAGTAAACGATTATTTTGGAAACATGGATGGTTCAAAAGGTGTCAGGACATAGCTGTGTAAGCATCTCTTTGAACTTTTGTACAACTTCACAGCTCCTCAGGAAAATTCATTAGGATACACAATTTCAGAGACTAGGCCTGCCATTTTTGTACTTTTCTAGGGCTACAGGGTGAAATGAATCTTCATTGTGCCTCACCACTCTCTTTAAATTGCCCCACATCCTCTGAAGTGGAGGTAGCATCCCCCTCCTCCACTGGGGAGGGAGTCTGGGCTACCTCAGTATCTCTCAAGGAGATGGAGGCTCCAAGGGTCAGCCCTGTTCTGGGCAATGGGACTTTGGATATTTGAGGTGGCTGACTCAAGTTATAGGAGAGTCCTGTGTTGGTTTGTTTTAAGAAGTTAGCAACAGTATCTGCAACAGTGTCTTTACAAGAAGAGGACCATGGAAAGATTGGCAATAAAGTGTAGAGGGGTTCAGATGTGGGCTCTGAAGCCACCCAGTTTGAGTTTAAATCAACACTTTGTGACCTTGAGTATTTACTTAACCTTCTCTGTGCCAACTTCGTCTGTAAACAGGAAATAAATTATATCTACGTAAGGTCATTGTGAAGATTAAAGGAGGTAATAAGATGTCCACAATGCCTAGCACATAGTAAGTACACCACAGATATTAGCTATTATTAGGTAAGAGAAGAAGAAACATAAAAACATGAGTGAATGGAAATAAAGGTCCTGTAGTAAGGATGAATTTAAATGACTTAAACTGTAAAAGCAAGAAACATTTTCCATAATTATAGAAATTCAATAAATGGAGAGAATTTTATGAACAGAATGGATAAATATAACATCCACTGATCTAATAAAAATTTTAATGTGCAAAGTTTGTAACTTTCAGGTAAACACACTTAACAAACATTCTTGAATTCTGATTCCCAAACCTTATGCTGTAATTCCTGTAAAGGTCATTTTTAACAGATGATGTGCATCACCTGTTACATATTTTCAGAGACTTGTATTATGGGTTTAAGAATAGTATATTTAATTATTTTAAGTTATAATTCTGCAAAGCAAACCTCCGATTATCTTCTTATTGCCCCAGTAACCTCACAGGAGGTACAAAGCCACACTTCACAGAAACAGCTGCGTCACTCTGAATTCCTTTCCTTTTCTTTTATTGTGTGTGGCCCTGCCAAGGTCAGAAAACAAGTAATCTGAATCTACCAATTGCACTTCCTTCCTTCCTGACTGTCTTTGGAGAGATTCAGTGCTCTTTAGAACCCTGTTAGAGCAATTAACGTAAGGTGGACTCATGCCTGCCTTATTTTCTAGCAGAAGCATCTGCAATCAAAGACACTGACATCCAAGGGCATCATTTCTCTAAGTTAAAGTCAAGAATTTGTCTTCCAAGTTTTAGAATGGAAGTGGTCTTTCTGAACGACTCATCAAAACACTTCCTCTGACAATATGGTACCAAGGCTTTATCTTCTCAAACTTGAAGTCCACACAGCCACCTGAACAAAAGATTTTGCCATATATATGTGTGTGTATATATATATATACACACACACACACACACATATCTCACAGAGACTCTGAACACAATTTTCTATGATTGATACTTCCTGTTAAATTATGTTTATTAGCCCCAATTGCAGGTGTGAAGCATGCTACTGAACTGTATTTGCTGAAGATTGTTTTAAAATCCTCAACACTCAAATTGTTTCTCTTAAATCGGGGAACCTAACTATTATCTTTTAAAAATTACCTATGATATTAAAGAACCTTTACAAATGGGGGAAAAGCAACCCATCTTCTGTTAGAGTGTTGAAATCTAGTATAGTCAGCATACAGGTGAATTTTCAAAATGGCAGGTTCCATAGCATGTACTCACCAGGGGCTCTGCCATAATGATACGAATCTTGCGTTCGGCCTGAGTGGTGAAGTTGACAAATAAACTTTTGAGGACATATTCTCCTGGTTTGCTGTCTGGGTCCACATTGATGGGTAACATGGTTGGCGGCCCTTTCTCTCTGTGTGTGCCAGAAGCAGGTGGAACCGGAGGCTTGATGTAACCGTTGCCAACAGGAGAAGCTGAAAAACAGAATGGGCATTCTTACTGGCTGACAATAATGGCATAAATACTCAGATGGGCTGTGTTAAACCATAAATATCAGGATATGAATCATATCAAGAAAGTCACACTTAATACCTGGCCTCATTCTTGGGAAACGGTGTCAAAATTTTATTATTTTCATTACCTATGTTTGCGTTATGCCATATTTGATCATCTCAAAATTCTAGTCGCCACATTGCTTTAGGTAAATTATATTGGAAGCTCATAATATAGCTGATCAATATTACAATACTTAAGATATTTTTGGCTTATATTTTTGTTCTAGGGAAAACAGCAGTTCCATTTAGAAAATGGGCAGAAAATGTATATGGGAAAAAAAGTGATTTCTTGTTCAGGTTTTTTCCTTATGGTCAGGAGCTCTCTATCTTCTGTGCTTCATTCTAATAATGGAAAAGACTCTGGGGTCATTCCTTCCAGCAGTCTCCAAGAATCAGTTTTCAGAAGCCTAGCTGGCTCTTGCTCCAGAAAGGGATGCACCTCTTGAAAGATACAAGGCTTAGGCAGTGCCGTGTTTGCCATAAAAGGTGTGAGTTTAACTTTTCACTCTCACTACCCTTTAGCTCAAGTTGGGACACCTCTCCACTTCCTTTATAAAATATGTAGAGTCCACACTAGCTTTATATCTTCAACAGAGGCAGCTATTAAAGCTCCTGATGAGTGGCCTCTGTTCAAAATGCAATAGAGTCAGACACTGTTTTAATTAGATAGTTGCTAAACATTTTTTTAAATTTATAAATGCAGACTTTCAAGTCTTTACTTTTTACAGTACTTTGATAAGTTAAATTCTACCACCCCTCCCACACAAACACTTGTAAGATGGTCAGTTATTAATATCCAGTGAAAGAAATGTAAGAGCAAGTGAGCTTAGGTTACAGGCATTTGGGGATGCTGAGAACAGGAAGTATTTAGTTAAACAAAAGTATCTAGGTGTTGGGTGACTGGATATGGAGATTATGGGAAAGCGTCAAGTAAAAGATGGGTTTCCAGTTTGGACACTGGATTGGATATCAAGAGAATGGCAGTGTCATTGATATTCAAGGCAGAACAAAGTTCTCCATGAAAGTTCAATACTCTTTTTTATAACTACAAATAAATGTAGGGCTTCTCTTGCTTTCTCTCCATCTCAAGCCAAGTTCTGAGGAAGCAATATAACATTTTGTTTATTTTATTAAATTACAAACATGACCCCTATGTTACATAGATGATTCTCCCTCACCTTTCCTACCCTTCCTCTGTCATTCATTTAACCTGACATAACAGTTGAGGGGCCCCTTATATCTGAAGGGTCTTTCCAGATCTCAGCTACCACTAAACTGTAAGAATATGGCCTCACAAGTTACAGAAATATAATGAAATGTCTTGCATATTACCTCGTTTTCTCTCCATTCCCATTGGCCACATCCTATCCAGGCCCTCGGAAGCCCATGGCTAGATAATTTTAATAGCCTCTTTGCAGACATTGTTTCATCTGTTTTCTATATCAAACTAATCTTTATTTTGCATGGCTTTAATCATAACATGTTTCTGCTCAAAACTTTCAATAGCTCTCAGTTACCATTATCCAGCCTCAGCACTCTGGCCTGCTTTTGAAGGTCTTTAGCAGTTTGCTTCCACACCCTCACCCAAGTCCTACCGATGCCCTCACTGGCCTGTGAGCACAGTGGTCTCGTCTCACTTATTCTTCCTTCTTTCTCTTCTGCAGCTCCTTTCCATTCTTTTCTGCCCATCTCTTCTTCCTCTTCTTTCAGAGCCACTTCTAGTCTCATCTCCATAACACCTAACTCCACTAGGCCACTCTTCACTGGTTAATTTGCTTTACAAGAGTTGAACATTTAACACGAACTGTTTGGTGTTTTGCTTTGTCTTGTACATCCTACATGACCTATGAAAGACTCAACAGACAGCTGCCAAGTAAAGTAACTATCGATTGAAGACAAGGTTTTGTCTAGGGCCGGCCCTGTAATTAAACCATATACTCTTCTAGCTATATCTCCTAAAGTTCCCTTAAAAGACAGTAGACTCCCAGATGTCATACAAAGTTCTTTGCACAGACAATACTCAACAAATCTTAAATAACTAAGAATGTTGCCTGACTTATTTCTGCAGGTCTTAAAGGCATTCCTGGGATAAGAGCTACAGGAGGAGACATATTATGTCAGAGTCTTTTAAGAATGGATGCAGTAGTTGTGATAGAAGAGTCATTAATTAAATGGTACTGCAAACAGTGCACTGAAAGGTACTATTTATTCCAAAGGGGCATATGGAAAGTCAAGTGATGAAAATGAAGTCCTGGCCACTCCTCTGCTTCACCTCCTAGTCCCCCAATGCAGTCACCTTGTGGAAGCAGGACACCTCCCCAACACCAGCTTAGAGAATGACTCAAGATATCTTCCTCAGGTATCAAGGGCATTATGCCTCAGAACCAGAGACTGGGCTATAAACCTAAAATGTCTATTTGGAGTATGACTTTTCATTATCTTTGGTTTTCCACAGGATTTGATCCATTTCTAGATGACAGCAATAATTGGATTGATATAATAATATACACAGTAATTGCAAGACAAGATCCATAATTGCATGACTCTGGGGCCTAAAAGTCTTAACTACAGAGAAAAGATTTTCATGAGAGTGACTTCTTACAGTCCTTCTGCAAGGCTGCATTTTGAACCAGAGAGCTGAAATCCAGATACCAGAAAACCTCTCAGACAAATCCTCCATTTAAAGGGCTATAGTGCCAATTCACTGCTATCATAAAAAATGTTACTCACCTGTACTTCAAAGCCAGACATCTTTGTGAATACAAAGCCAGACATCTTTGTGAATACAGAGGTAATATTCAAAAAGATAAAACTATATGAATAGCCTTATTGAGCTGGATTTATCCTAGCCCAGCAGAGCCCTGTACCAGAGAAGAAAATGATTCGGGGGGGGGCGGCGTCACCAATCATTCTGAGTTTCAAGCACAGATCAGCTTAGGCAGCTGGAGATGCATGAAAGTTAATGGGGTAAGTGTATTTGAACTAGGTCCATTTCCAAGTTTCAGTAACCCCTCTTCATCCTACCCTAATTAATTCACGGTAAATCCTAGCCTTAGGATAATTTTCAAAAGTAAACATTAGGACGTGGCACCTTTCAATGGCTGATTTGGTGACAATATAGCGCAGACCAGGAAATTCATGTTCCCTGGTAGTCAAACTTGAGTCATAAAGTCCACACTAATCTAAATATTAGAGCATTATCATTAGAAACAAAATTATCAGACCCTCTCACAGCACTTGCTTGCTCTTCTTAATCTATACATAAGATCATTTGTCTAGTTTCTAAATTCACAATAGTCTGGAAACAGAAAATTATAAGGGAGGGGGTGTAATTTCCATGGGTAGAAATGCTATTGGCAGAAGAAGAAACAAAATTGCATAATTTAGAAAGCCGCCAGAACTTAAAAATGCAATTAGCTGGATATGACAGTCTCACAGGCTTCAGGGCTTTGATCACTGTCAAAATTTATGTTCATTATGATGACCATAAGTCTCACAGAAAAGTAAAAAAAGGTGGGAAAAAGAGTAATAAAAAATTGCAAAGGTTTAGATTTCAAAAAGATAAAACTAAAAATACTTTTGGTGTATAAAAGGGAATAATTCGCTGCCTCTAAGAATTTAGCTCTCGAGAATTAAATCTGTTCCTTCATAGGTCTGATTTTTAACTGAAAATTTATTTTTGATTGAAAAAACAAAACAAAACATGGATTCAGTACCAGCCACACTGAAGCCCCATTTTCCAGGTTTGCAAATGCTGGCAGTGACTGAATCAACTCCTCTCCGCCCGGGGGTGCTTTCCTCACTTTTTACCCAGTCCTGTAAGCAAATCCTCCCACCTATCAGGACCCAGGTCAGTGTGGCCTCCTCCATCTGGCTTTGTCTGGACCCTGCCTGCCAGTGCCATCCAGCTGCCCAGAGGGTCAGCCTTCTCTTCAGGCCAGGTCTCTGGAAATATGGATCTCTCCCAGTGAAAGGATCCTGACAGAACCTTTATCACATCTTCCCCATACAAATTCTTGTTGAGGGAACAATTCTTCCTTGTTGCTTAATTCGTTGTATTAAAAACCCCCATTAAAATTTCTTGCATGTAATGAATTTTTTAAAATCTGTTTTTATTTATTTTTAGTTGTGGTAAAGTAGACAAAATTTACCACCTTAGTCTCTTTTAAGTGTACATTTCAGTGGCATCCATGTAATGAATTTTTTAGCACCAACTCCATGTGCCTTTATTCACCTTTCCTTCATTCTATCTTTCGATTTTCATATAACAGCTCAATTTCTCTAAAAAGTCATTCAAATCAGTGCTCCTGTGGTGGGGGCTGGTGTGGAGTAGAGAAAAAGAGCATCACTTCTGCATATTAATTAGGTTTCTAATTATTGAATCCTTTTGAAATTTGTCTTTTCTTTATATTTTCCCATTTACATTTTAATCTTGGTTTTAACACATTCTAATTTTTTTCTCCACCGCCTTCTTTTGTCTTAAATGGGTTTTGTTGGTATTCTTTTACTATTTTTATTCCAAATTCTGTTCCTAATTGGTTTTGTTGGATGGCTTCAGGAAGTGTTTTCCTGTGTTCACTGGGTCTCTATTTTTTATATTAAGTAGGGTCCATTCCTTAAATTATGAGAAGTCTATTTTATATGTTTGGGGCCCATTCATTTCCTGTTTACTAAATCTATTTCCGACTGCAAGTGATGATCTTTTGAATATGACTATTTTTCCCCCAATTTAACTGACTAATAGCTTACTTTTTAGGCTGGCTGTTCTTAGATCTTCAGCACAATTTCCCTAAGTTACCAACATTTCCAAGACAGACTACCCTCGTAACTGCAGCACCAATACAAACACCTCCACAGCTCATAGTTCAGCTATATTTTTATAACACTCAAAAGAAATGAGTGTCCTCATATTAGAGCCC